GGAGAATGCGCTTCACAACTTGAAGCCGAGACAAATAGCACATGGGGAGAATGCGCTTCACAACTTGAAGCCGAGACAAATAGCACATGGGGAGAATGCGCTTCACAACTTGAAGCCGAGACAAATAGCACATGGGGAGAATGCGCTTCACAACTTGAAGCCGAGACAAATAGCACATGGGGAGAATGCGCTTCACAACTTGAAGCCGAGACAAATAGCACATGGGGAGAATGCGCTTCACAACTTGAAGCCGAGACAAATAGCACATGGGGAGAATGCGCTTCACAACTTGAAGCCGAGACAAATAGCACATGGGGAGAATGCGCTTCACAACTTGAAGCCGAGACAAATAGCACATGGGGAGAATGCGCTTCACAACTTGAAGCCGAGACAAATAGCACATGGGGAGAATGCGCTTCACAACTTGAAGCCGAGACAAATAGCACATGGGGAGAATGCGCTTCACAACTTGAAGCCGAGACAAATAGCACATGGGGAGAATGCGCTTCACAACTTGAAGCCGAGACAAATAGCACATGGGGAGAATGCGCTTCACAACTTGAAGCCGAGACAAATAGCACATGGGGAGAATGCGCTTCACAACTTGAAGCCGAGACAAATAGCACATGGGGAGAATGCGCTTCACAACTTGAAGCCGAGACAAATAGCACATGGGGAGAATGCGCTTCACAACTTGAAGCCGAGACAAATAGCACATGGGGAGAATGCGCTTCACAACTTGAAGCCGAGACAAATAGCACATGGGGAGAATGCGCTTCACAACTTGAAGCCGAGACAAATAGCACATGGGGAGAATGCGCTTCACAACTTGAAGCCGAGACAAATAGCACATGGGGAGAATGCGCTTCACAACTTGAAGCCGAGACAAATAGCACATGGGGAGAATGCGCTTCACAACTTGAAGCCGAGACAAATAGCACATGGGGAGAATGCGCTTCACAACTTGAAGCCGAGACAAATAGCACATGGGGAGAATGCGCTTCACAACTTGAAGCCGAGACAAATAGCACATGGGGAGAATGCGCTTCACAACTTGAAGCCGAGACAAATAGCACATGGGGAGAATGCGCTTCACAACTTGAAGCCGAGACAAATAGCACATGGGGAGAATGCGCTTCACAACTTGAAGCCGAGACAAATAGCACATGGGGAGAATGCGCTTCACAACTTGAAGCCGAGACAAATAGCACATGGGGAGAATGCGCTTCACAACTTGAAGCCGAGACAAATAGCACATGGGGAGAATGCGCTTCACAACTTGAAGCCGAGACAAATAGCACATGGGGAGAATGCGCTTCACAACTTGAAGCCGAGACAAATAGCACATGGGGAGAATGCGCTTCACAACTTGAAGCCGAGACAAATAGCACATGGGGAGAATGCGCTTCACAACTTGAAGCCGAGACAAATAGCACATGGGGAGAATGCGCTTCACAACTTGAAGCCGAGACAAATAGCACATGGGGAGAATGCGCTTCACAACTTGAAGCCGAGACAAATAGCACATGGGGAGAATGCGCTTCACAACTTGAAGCCGAGACAAATAGCACATGGGGAGAATGCGCTTCACAACTTGAAGCCGAGACAAATAGCACATGGGGAGAATGCGCTTCACAACTTGAAGCCGAGACAAATAGCACATGGGGAGAATGCGCTTCACAACTTGAAGCCGAGACAAATAGCACATGGGGAGAATGCGCTTCACAACTTGAAGCCGAGACAAATAGCACATGGGGAGAATGCGCTTCACAACTTGAAGCCGAGACAAATAGCACATGGGGAGAATGCGCTTCACAACTTGAAGCCGAGACAAATAGCACATGGGGAGAATGCGCTTCACAACTTGAAGCCGAGACAAATAGCACATGGGGAGAATGCGCTTCACAACTTGAAGCCGAGACAAATAGCACATGGGGAGAATGCGCTTCACAACTTGAAGCCGAGACAAATAGCACATGGGGAGAATGTGTTTCACAACTTGAAGCCGAGACAAATAGCACATGGGGAGAATGCGCTTCACAACTTGAAGCCGAGACAAATAGCACATGGGGAGAATGCGCTTCACAACTTGAAGCCGAGACAAATAGCACATGGGGAGAATGCGCTTCACAACTTGAAGCCGAGACAAATAGCACATGGGGAGAATGCGCTTCACAACTTGAAGCCGAGACAAATAGCACATGGGGAGAATGCGCTTCACAACTTGAAGCCGAGACAAATAGCACATGGGGAGAATGCGCTTCACAACTTGAAGCCGAGACAAATAGCACATGGGGAGAATGCGCTTCACAACTTGAAGCCGAGACAAATAGCACATGGGGAGAATGCGCTTCACAACTTGAAGCCGAGACAAATAGCACATGGGGAGAATGCGCTTCACAACTTGAAGCCGAGACAAATAGCACATGGGGAGAATGCGCTTCACAACTTGAAGCCGAGACAAATAGCACATGGGGAGAATGCGCTTCACAACTTGAAGCCGAGACAAATAGCACATGGGGAGAATGCGCTTCACAACTTGAAGCCGAGACAAATAGCACATGGGGAGAATGCGCTTCACAACTTGAAGCCGAGACAAATAGCACATGGGGAGAATGCGCTTCACAACTTGAAGCCGAGACAAATAGCACATGGGGAGAATGCGCTTCACAACTTGAAGCCGAGACAAATAGCACATGGGGAGAATGCGCTTCACAACTTGAAGCCGAGACAAATAGCACATGGGGAGAATGCGCTTCACAACTTGAAGCCGAGACAAATAGCACATGGGGAGAATGCGCTTCACAACTTGAAGCCGAGACAAATAGCACATGGGGAGAATGCGCTTCACAACTTGAAGCCGAGACAAATAGCACATGGGGAGAATGCGCTTCACAACTTGAAGCCGAGACAAATAGCACATGGGGAGAATGCGCTTCACAACTTGAAGCCGAGACAAATAGCACATGGGGAGAATGCGCTTCACAACTTGAAGCCGAGACAAATAGCACATGGGGAGAATGCGCTTCACAACTTGAAGCCGAGACAAATAGCACATGGGGAGAATGCGCTTCACAACTTGAAGCCGAGACAAATAGCACATGGGGAGAATGCGCTTCACAACTTGAAGCCGAGACAAATAGCACATGGGGAGAATGCGCTTCACAACTTGAAGCCGAGACAAATAGCACATGGGGAGAATGCGCTTCACAACTTGAAGCCGAGACAAATAGCACATGGGGAGAATGCGCTTCACAACTTGAAGCCGAGACAAATAGCACATGGGGAGAATGCGCTTCACAACTTGAAGCCGAGACAAATAGCACATGGGGAGAATGCGCTTCACAACTTGAAGCCGAGACAAATAGCACATGGGGAGAATGCGCTTCACAACTTGAAGCCGAGACAAATAGCACATGGGGAGAATGCGCTTCACAACTTGAAGCCGAGACAAATAGCACATGGGGAGAATGCGCTTCACAACTTGAAGCCGAGACAAATAGCACATGGGGAGAATGCGCTTCACAACTTGAAGCCGAGACAAATAGCACATGGGGAGAATGCGCTTCACAACTTGAAGCCGAGACAAATAGCACATGGGGAGAATGCGCTTCACAACTTGAAGCCGAGACAAATAGCACATGGGGAGAATGCGCTTCACAACTTGAAGCCGAGACAAATAGCACATGGGGAGAATGCGCTTCACAACTTGAAGCCGAGACAAATAGCACATGGGGAGAATGCGCTTCACAACTTGAAGCCGAGACAAATAGCACATGGGGAGAATGCGCTTCACAACTTGAAGCCGAGACAAATAGCACATGGGGAGAATGCGCTTCACAACTTGAAGCCGAGACAAATAGCACATGGGGAGAATGCGCTTCACAACTTGAAGCCGAGACAAATAGCACATGGGGAGAATGCGCTTCACAACTTGAAGCCGAGACAAATAGCACATGGGGAGAATGCGCTTCACAACTTGAAGCCGAGACAAATAGCACATGGGGAGAATGCGCTTCACAACTTGAAGCCGAGACAAATAGCACATGGGGAGAATGCGCTTCACAACTTGAAGCCGAGACAAATAGCACATGGGGAGAATGCGCTTCACAACTTGAAGCCGAGACAAATAGCACATGGGGAGAATGCGCTTCACAACTTGAAGCCGAGACAAATAGCACATGGGGAGAATGCGCTTCACAACTTGAAGCCGAGACAAATAGCACATGGGGAGAATGCGCTTCACAACTTGAAGCCGAGACAAATAGCACATGGGGAGAATGCGCTTCACAACTTGAAGCCGAGACAAATAGCACATGGGGAGAATGCGCTTCACAACTTGAAGCCGAGACAAATAGCACATGGGGAGAATGCGCTTCACAACTTGAAGCCGAGACAAATAGCACATGGGGAGAATGCGCTTCACAACTTGAAGCCGAGACAAATAGCACATGGGGAGAATGCGCTTCACAACTTGAAGCCGAGACAAATAGCACATGGGGAGAATGCGCTTCACAACTTGAAGCCGAGACAAATAGCACATGGGGAGAATGCGCTTCACAACTTGAAGCCGAGACAAATAGCACATGGGGAGAATGCGCTTCACAACTTGAAGCCGAGACAAATAGCACATGGGGAGAATGCGCTTCACAACTTGAAGCCGAGACAAATAGCACATGGGGAGAATGCGCTTCACAACTTGAAGCCGAGACAAATAGCACATGGGGAGAATGCGCTTCACAACTTGAAGCCGAGACAAATAGCACATGGGGAGAATGCGCTTCACAACTTGAAGCCGAGACAAATAGCACATGGGGAGAATGCGCTTCACAACTTGAAGCCGAGACAAATAGCACATGGGGAGAATGCGCTTCACAACTTGAAGCCGAGACAAATAGCACATGGGGAGAATGCGCTTCACAACTTGGGAGGACCGACCTTTAGAACGCAGTGTGCTATTGGATACAGGCTTGAGGCAAGGGGGAGCATTTGGTCCTCACCTCCTGGGAAGCTGGTTTGATCGACAAACTGCTGCGCCTGCATCACAGCGAGTCGAGACGGGCGGCATGAAGAAGCAGCAAGAAGCGAAGTGAGCATCCGCAGAGTGAGATCGAGTGAGTGCGACGTAGTGCAAGGCGTCAGCAGTGAGTGCGACGTAGTGCAAGGCGTCAGCAGTGAGTGCGACACAGTGCAAGGCGTCAGCAGTGAGTGCGACACAGTGCAAGGCGTCAGCAGTGAGTGCGACACAGTGCAAGGCGTCAGCAGTGAGTGCGACACAGTGCAAGGCGTCAGCAGTGAGTGCGACACAGTGCAAGGCGTCAGCAGTGAGTGCGACACAGTGCAAGGCGTCAGCAGTGAGTGCGACACAGCAGCCGTGGCAGCTCACCTGTTGGATGGAGCCCGGCCCAATGATGATGAGAGTCACACCTGCTGCTTGAAACGCATCCTGGCAATAACGAGGGCATGGCAGAGAGGCAGAGGTAGAGCAATGAGAGACACTTCAGCTGCCACGCGATAGGCGTTTCATCAGAGGGCATGCAGCAACGAGAAAGCAAGCGCTGAGGCAGAAAACAACAAGTCGACCGCCTTTCTCATTGCCCCACCTTGTCATTGCCCCACCTTCTCGTTTGCCAGCATGGTGGTTAGCTTGCGACAGAGCAGACAGCTGGCAGGGCGACATGGGCAGGGGAGGGCAATGAGCAGGAGGGCAAGACAAAGAGAGAGCAGTGCAGGGGGGGCGGATAGTGAATGCATGGGTGAGATAACAGAGTGGAAGGAAGGCGAGATGAATCAATGCAGTCTCAAGCCATGCCACCCACATAGGCACGTGAGGTGCCACCACACCATGGCATGGCATGGCATGGCATGGCATGGAAAAATGGATGGGATGTGGGGAAGAGAGGTTAAATGGCATGGAAAGGGATGATGGTGCGATGGGATGATGGTGCGATGGGATGATGGTGCGATGGGATGATGGTGCAATGGGATGATGGCGATGGGATGATGGTGCGATGGGATGATGGTGCAATGGGATGATGGTGCGATGGGATGATGGTGCGATGGGATGATGGTGCAATGGGATGATGGTTCGATGGGATGATGGTGCGATGGTATGAATTGGCATGAGCTATCCAATAATTAAAAGGCTTCTTTTAACTTGGACCTGCCCGCACCCCCCCCATGAGGTCCCCACGTCGACCTCCACCTCGCACGCTCCCCACCTCCACCTCCAGCAGCCACCCGCCATCCCCAGCAGCCACCCGCCATCCCCAGCAGCCACCCGCCATCCCCAGCAGCCACCCGCCATCCCCAGCAGCCACCCGCCATCCCCAGCGCGCGCTGCTGGGTGCGTCAGCAGCGCGTGGCTCACCCGAAGTGTCGCGTCCACGCCACCACCACGCGCCGCGTCGCCCACAGCGACGTCAGCGCCACGCGCGTGCCGTCCAGCGCCGTCACCTCCACGCCCGCCAGCGGCGCCGCCCACGACGGCGCGACGGCCGCCACCTTTCCGCTGGATGGCGCCGCCGCGTTTGACGGGCCGCGGGGCTCGCTGGCGGGCTCTGGCGCCGACGGGCGCGGCGACGCGGCCTCTGGCGGCGGTGAACCGTTGGACGTCGCGCTGACCGCCACCCGCCGACGCGTTGACTCGCGTTGACTGGCGGCGTATCGCAACGCACGTGGTGCGATGAGAGCGAGGGGCGGCGGCAGGGCAGGGGAGGCGCGCCGTAATGGCGAAAGCATTTGCGCGCCGGGAAGCGTGGGCGACACGCAATGCGACATCATGAAAAACGTCTGAGGTTGCGCAGGAGGCGGTAGAGTTTGTGTGGTCACCTCAATCGGTACGTATGAGACACGCCTAATTGAGACCAGCAGCGGGAGCGTTCCGAATGCATTTCGTCATTACTGAGACACGCGTTATTGAAACTGATCTGTTCCTGGATGGAGGTACGGTATGTAAATTCTAACAAGTTGAACAAACCAGTAGCACACTTCCAAATCAAACAATGCAAGTACATTGGACTCGTACTCCTGCTGCACAGCAGCCACTTGGCGTTCTTCTTTGGTGCTGTGTGTGTGTGTGTCTCAGAGGGCACAGGAGAGCAGGGCGGGGCACTAGAGGAGCAGGTCGTAGTGGTTGCCGAGCCTAGAGGAGGAGGTCGTAGTGGTTGCCGAGCCTAGAGGAGGTCGTAGTGGTTGCCGAGCCTAGATGAGCAGGTCGTAGTGATTGCCGGGCCTAGAGGAGCAGATAGTAGTAGTTGCCGAGCCTAGATGAGCAGGTCGTAGTGGTTGCCGGGCCTAGAGGAGCAGGTCGTAGTGGTTGGTGCCGTTGTACAGCAGCCGCACCGCCTTGCGCGGCTTGTTGCCGTGTGCGCCCGCCGCCCGCCCGAACTCGCTGCCGTACTCCGCGATCGGCACCACGCCCCCGCCCCACCGCGCCCCCTGCCGCGCCTGCCATGCCGTGAAGGGGTGTGGCGGTGGAGGTATGGGGGGAATGGGGAGGACGCATGGCAGGATGCGGCATGGGGCGGTGGCGATGGAAAGTGGTATACGGTGTGGGTGTGGCATGGGGCGGTGGCGATGGAAAGTGGTATACGGTGTGGGTGTGGCATGGAGAGAGCGGTGCATCACTTGACCATGGCACGGCAAGAGGCAGCGAGAGAGAGAGAGAGAGGGAGAGAGAAAGTGGTGCTGCTGCTTGGATAAGGAGGAGTGCAGAGGAGGGAGGGGAGAGGTTGAGGCGCACATTGGACTCGGGGATGTACACAATGATGGGCTGAGCGTACCTTGGACTCGGGGATGTATACAATGATGGGCTGCGAGCACATGCGCGACAGCACCTGCCGTAGGAAAGATTGATAGAGCTTGTGATTCGTCTTTTAGACTTAGAATAGCGACAAGGGTACTTCTAGAGAACGAAGTACGATGAAACAATGACAAGTCGGAACGACAATCCAGCATAGCATATAACAACGATAACAGTGATTTATTTACAGGAGGCATCAAGAAATGGCATGCACATGAACAGATGGCATGCACATGAACAGATGGCATGCACATGAACAGATGGCATGCACATGAACAGATGGCATGCACATGAACAGATGGCATGCACATGAACAGATGGCATGCACATGAACAGATGGCATGCATGTAAAGCAGAACACACTAGCAGCGCCTGTCTCATCTTACCAGCAGCTCCGACTCCCCCCCCCAGAAGTCAGGCCTGGTGATGCGCTGGCAGTACCTGATTGGTGGAGGGCAGGCCGACAGTGGAATGGGTAAGATGAAGGAGAGGGAGGGTTGGGAAGCATGAAGAGGATTGAGAGATGCAGTGGAGGGTGGTGTGGAAGTGAGCGCAGGGAAACAGTGTGTGCTCACAAGTCAGTCACTGCCTTCACCCCAATGCCCAGCTTCCACAACGGAACCCCCCCATTGCCCACCGTTTGCAGCTCACTGTTAATGATGGCAGCTCACTTCCAATGATCGCAGCAACGGTCACTCATAAAACCGCTTCTGACTCTATCCTCAGAACCCATGTCCGATGACTCATGACCCATGTCCCATGACTCATACCCCATGTCCCATGACTCATAACCCATGTCCCATGACTCATAACCCATGTCCCATGACTCATGACCCATGTCCCATGACTCATGACCCATGTCCCATGACTCATAACCCATGTCCCATAACTCATGACCCATGTCCCATGACTCATAACCCATGTCCCATGACTCATAACCCATGTCCCATGACTCATAACCCATGTCCCATGACTCATAACCCATGTCCCATGACTCATAACCCATGTCCCATGACTCCCATGCATCACCACCCTCCCCTGCATCACCACCCTCCCCTGCATCACCACCCTCCCCTGCATCACCCACTCATCTCCTCCACGGTAATGGAAATGACTGCCTTCTCGTACGCCTGCCCTCCCCCCCCATCCCCCCTTTCCCCCCCATCCCCCCTTTCCCCCCCATCCCCACTTCTCCCCCCCCATCTCCCCTTTCCACCCCCATCCCCCCTTCCCCCCCCATCCCCCCTTCCCCCCCCCCCCCATCCCCCCTTCAAACCCCCATCCCCCCTTTTCCCCCCCCCCATCCCCCCTTCCCCAACCCCATCCCCCCTTTCCCCCTCCATCCCCCCTTCCCCCCCCCCGCCCCAGCAACACCCCCTCTCACTCACCGCCGCAGGCTCTCCTCCACGGTGATGGCGATGAGTGCCTCATAAGCGCCTCCCTGCTCACCCCCTCGGCCCCTGCCCATCCCCCCTCCCTCCCCATCCCCCCTCCCTCCCCATCCCCAGTCGTCCCCCCCAGCAACACCCCCTGTCTCTCACCGCTGCAGGCTCTCCTCAACGGTGATGGCGATGAGCGCCTCCTCATACGCGGCACGGCGCTTCTCACTGCCGCACAGCGCATCCGCCACCGCCAGCCGCAGCTCGTCTGGGGCGTCCCATGGCAGCGTGGAGAACGGCAAATGGCATGGCATGGTATGGCATGGCATGGCATGGCATGGCATATGGTATGGCATGGCATATGGTATGGTGAGGCATGGCATATGGTATGGTGTGGCATGGCACAGTATGGCGTGGCATGGCACAGTATGGCGTGGCATGGCACAGTATGGCGTGGCATGGCACAGTATGGCGTGACATGGCACAGTATGGCGTGGCATGGCACAGTATGGCGTGACATGGCACAGTATGGCGTGACATGGCACAGTATGGCGTGACATGGCACAGTATGGCGTGACATGGCACAGTATGGCGTGGCATGTCAAGACACAAGATAGGAAGTAAGGGGAGCAGGGAGAGGAGAAAGAAAAACCATTTGAGAGACGGTTACAGGCATGACATCCGGCACAAGACATGTTTCACAAAACCTCTGCCTGCACACACCCTCTGCGTGCACACACCTGCCTCGCGAGTCTCATCGGCGGGGGAGAGCGCCATGTTCTTGTTGGCCGCCATGCCTGATACCTGCAGCACGGGGGCATGGGGGCACGGGGGCGTGTAGGCATGGGGGCATGGGGGCGTGGGGCATGGGGGCGTGAGAGCGTGGGGGTATGATAGATTCGGGGAATGGGAGCATCGGGACATCAAGAAGAAGAAAGACAGCACCTCTCTCACTCACACGCCTCTCACGCACCCCTCCCACACGCACCCCTCCCACACGCACCCCTCCCACACGCACCCCTCCCACACGCACCCCTCCCACACGCACCCCTCCCTCTCACGCCCCTCCCTCTCACGCCCCTCCCTCTCACGCCCCTCCCTCTCACACGCCCCTCCCTCTCACGCCCCTCCCTCTGACGCCCTCTCAGCATCGCAAAGCTCAGCAGCCCTCGATCACACACACGCCTCCCAGGCTCACGAGGGCGCGGAACATGCAGCGGCCGTCAGCGTGCACGCGGCGCACCGAGTAGTACTCCACCTTCTTGCCCGCCGCCCCGCCCCCCCTGCCACGCGCGAGCCAAGGGCAGATGGGTAAGAGAAAATGGGGGGAGAGAATTTGGGAGGGAGGAAATATCGAAAGGAGTAAAGATGGGAGGGAGAGAGATGGAAGGGAGATGGGAGGGAGATGGGAGGGAGGGAGATGGAAGGGAGAGAGATGGGAGGGAGAGAGATGG